CATTCTGGCCCAAGGCTGGTAGCCATTAGCAAGTCTGAATAGGAAGCAGATACCACTTCAGGGCCCCTAAAAGCAAACATGTATAACCTGAGAGTTAGTCTCTATCAAATCAAATCAACTCAGGTTTATTAAGCGCCTATTACGTACAGACTGACTCTATGTAGGTGGTGGGAGTGAAGGGTTCTACCTGTTTCTGCAGCTCCCATCCTTGTTCAATACGGCATTTCAGCAGAAAACAATACAATTGTGGCAGAAAGGGATGCAGGGGTGAAAAGTTCCCGAACAGGCCTTTCTTTTCTATTTCTGTGTGATTTACTGCCGAGTTTGCGATGGCAGTTTACAAAATTAAAGAGGTAGAGACAGTAATTGGTCTTCCTTGGAAAACAAGGCAGGGCAGAATGTGGGGGGGGGGGTCAGCGGCCAGCGACCTTGGGTAGCTCATGCCCCTTCTCTGCTCTGGTGTTGCCATCTCGAAAATGGGGTGAGCGCCAAAGGAAACAATGCAAATAAAAGTGCTTTGTAAGCCACGAGGCGCTATGCAAACATCAGTTATTCCTACTGATGTCCTCACACTTTATTTTGTTATTTTTCTGGGAAAGGTAATACGTGCACATGGGAAAACAAATTTTTGAAAATAAATATTCAAATAGTGCAAAGGGTATATGGCAAACAAGTTTTTCTCCTCCATAGTCCCCTGGGGATCAGTTTTTTGTGCCCCATCTAGAGATATTCTAGATGTATGCATACCCACACAGAAAAAATATATATATGTGTGTGTGTGTGTATATACACACAGTCACACATACTTCCCTTTTGTTTAACACAAGTAGGCGTACACCATACAAAATAGTCTACACATTTATTTCTTAATTTAATTTAATTTTACATATTTTACTTTTAAATCTTCTGCTTTTTGGCTTAACAACACGTGTTTTCCCCCTAATTTTATTGAGGTATAACAGACATAAAATTGCATATATTTAAAATGTACAACAGGATGATTTCATAGACATAGACATTATGAAAAGATTACCACATGGGGCTGGCCTTGTGGAACAGCAGTTAAGTTTGCACATTCCACTTTGGCAGCCCGGGGTTTGCTGGTTCAGATCCCGGGTGCAGACCTATGCACTGCTTATCAAGCTATGCTGTGGCAGGCATCCCACATATAAAATAGGGGAAGATGGGCACAGATGTCAGCTCAGGGCCAGTCTTCCTCAGCAAAAAGAGGATTGGCTGGGGATGTTAGTTCAGGGCCAATCTTCCACCAAAAAAAAAAAGATTACCACAATCCGGTGAAATAACACATCCATCACCTCACCTACCTTTTTTTTCCCCCTTGAGGAAGATTTGCCCTGAGCTAACATCTGTGCCCATCTTCCTCTACTTTTTATATGTGGGACGCCTACCACAGCATGGCTTGCCAAGTGGTGCCATGTCCACACCCAGGATTCGAACTGGCGAACCCCGGGCCACTGAAGCGGAACATGTGCACTTAATGGCTGTGCCACCAGGCCAGCCCCTTTTTTTCTTTTTTTAACACTAAGTATGAAAGAAAGATCCTTTCGGATCAGTGCAAAGATCCACCTCTTTCTCATGAACAGCTGAGAATATTCCATATTTCATTGCTTTTGGGACATGCTACAAGGCAATTAACAATCCCCCTCAACGGAGTTTCTAGTCTTTGTTCCACACAACACTGCAGCGATGATCCTTGTATATTCGTCTCTCACCCTTGTTGGGCCAGGGGGAAGGTGCCGGTTCAGTTTTGATAGCACTGCCAGCTTGTCCCCTGCAGATGGTGACTTTTACAATAGTCAGTTATCTCTCTAATCAAGAAACAGGCAGTCATTGAAACTGGCAGGCACCACCTCGCTAGAAGCTTGCATTTGGTGAAACCAAGAAAGAAGTTAATCTTCCTGAGAGAGCCAGTGTGGGCCTTCACGATTTCACAGAGCAAAGTGGTTTAGGGCTCAGAAGTGGGAGACAGATGCCTGGTACAAATGCCAGCTCCACCATTTAGTGAGTGTGACCTTAGGCAAAGTGACTTAAGGTTGGGGTGTCTCAGTCTCTCCATCTATTAAATGGGAATAATAATCCTACCTGCTTCATAGGGTTATTTTAGTGTTTCTTAAGCAATCTCAGCCCTAATGATGTGTGTGCTGGGTAATTCTCTGTTGTGGGGGGCTGTCCTGCACATTGTAGGGTGTTTAGCAGCATCCCTGATCTCGACCCACAAGATGCCAGTAGCATTTCCCCTTCAATGGTGGCAACCAAAAATGTCTCTAGACGTTGCCAAATGTCTTTTGGTGGGCGGGTAAAATTTTCCCCTCCCACCGAGAATCAGTGAGTTGTTGTGAGGATAAAATGAGTGACTTATTATGTAGAAAGTACTTAGAACGGAGCCAGCACGTAGTTAATGCTATATAAGGGTCTGCAATTATTTTCATCATTATCGTTTCCAAGCCCTGGCTTACCTGATGGAAAATAAATAGCTCTGATAATATGGGGGCTTAGGCAAGACAGTGAGTATTGTCAAGTCAGTATCTGATTCCACTGCAACTCCCTATTCTAAGTCTGATCCCTCTGGAGTTCCACTGTGGAGCTTGGGGTCTCCTGCAGCAAACTTAGCAAAATCCCACGGTAACGGCCAGTTCAGCTGTCACCGGTGCCACACACATCCATTTTAAATCCCCTCCTGTGTCCTCCAAACGCTCCTACTTCAAATCTCCAGCTTTCTGTAAGTCTGTGGCCCCTGAAACAACAAGCTGCCCACAAAATTCACCCCCAAAAAGGGCTGAATGAAAACAAAAAGGGAGAATCGGGAAAAACAAAAGGCTGAGTTTCTTTAAATTCCTGGCTCTGCACAGCACAAGCATTTCCACTGAAAAATAAAGAATTCTTTCTTCTGTGTCTGTTTCAGCTGGGCATCCAGCTTTTGCCTTGTGAATAATGTCACCGCATCATTATTCTGTGCCACAAGGTAAAACACAGTGAGCAACTTAACAACCAGAAGTGTGCTTGTGTGGAGGAAATGGCTCAATTAAAAGCTTTTCAAACAATGTTGCCATGTTCCCTACTATTTTACCACACTCCCCCCTCAGCTTTTTTAAACCTATGGGAAAGTTGTTACTTTGCATACAAGGTGTGTAAATAATGCCCTCAGGAAGAACCTCACACTGTACACTTTTTCTTTTCTTTTTTTCATTGCTTTTAGTCTTTTGGGATTCCTGGAGTGTCTACAAATAGATTAGCCTCTAAGAATTCTGAGGAACCATGGTTAGAAAAAAACACTGGTTTAATTAGCCGTGGTCCTATTTTTGAAATTACATCTGCTCTTTTTTTTTTCTTAACGAGGATTGGTCTATGCAAAAACTTGAAGAGGATGGATTTTTTTTGGGGGGGGGGTGCATGTTAGTTTTGATTTGAATTAATTTTCATGCTTTTGAAAGCGAAATCAAGAGTATTGAGTGAATAATGTATCATCATACATTAAACATGATCGAATGAGGAGAGCTGAAAAGAAATGATTGCAGAAAAATGAATTGCTGGAAATACGGGCTCATCTGATGTGTGCTGCTGTACTGGGTAGAATGACTCTTCGCATTTCTGCTTTGCATGGGTACATCAGTTTTTCAACTCCAAATCCTCAGGCTTGATTAATCATTGAAGTGATGAAAATTAAAGGGTCATGTGGTTTGCTGAAGGGTCATTGAAAATCAGAAAGTAAGTATAGAATCCACAAGACTAGATTCCCAAGTTTGAAAGTCTTTCTCTTTATGTTTCTCGCTTGATAATTTTTTTCACTTCTGAAAAAGTGGTTGAAATGGCCACAGCTATTTTTTTTTAAAGATTTTTATTTTTTTTTTCCTTTTTCTCCCCAAAGCCTTCCAGTACATAGTTGTATATTCTTAGTTGTGGATCCTTCTAGTTGTGGCATGTGGGACACCACCTCAGCGTGGCTTGAGCAGTGCCATGTCCACGCCCAGGATTCGAACCGATGAAACACTGGACCGCCTGCAGTGGAGTGCGCGGACTTAACCACTCAGCCATGGGGCCGGGCCCGGCCACAGCTACTTTTGAAGTTTATATTTTAGAAATACTTCTCAATATCAGAACTCTTTCGCGACAATATTCTTCACGGCCTTTGATGACAACTCAATGACACTTGTTGGTTTTGTTTCCATAGTTGCCTGAAGATCATTTGGGTGGGGGAAGTACTCAAAAATGTAACTTCTACTGGATATAATATGAGTTCCTGACTTCATTTGTCTTTAAAGAATTATGGACGCACATGGAAATCACAGGAAATGAACTTTTTCAGGGTCATTTGTATTAGTTATCTATTGCTGCGTAACAAATTACCGCAAAACTTACTGACCGAGACAACAAAAGGGTAAGGAATCTGGTGTGGCTTAGCTGCGCATCTCTAGCTCAGGGTCTCTAACAGGCCTCCTAAGATGCTTTGACCAGGGCTGCAGTCATATCATGGCCTGACTGGGGACGATCTGCTTCCAAGCTCACTCACAGGGCTGCTGGCCACCATCAGGTCCTTGCTGCTGTGGTTGGAGAAGTCAGTTCCTTGCCATGGAAGCCTCTCCATAGGGCAGCTCACAACATGGCAGCCAGCTTTCTTCAAAGCAAGCGAGCAAGAGAGGGCAGTCCAAAACAGAAGCCACAGTCTTTTTGTAACCTAATCTTGGAAGTGAAAACTCATAACTTTCTCTAACTTTTTGTTAGAAGGAAGTCCATACTCGGTGGAGGAGATTTCACAGGGTCTGAATACCAGGAGAACACGATCACAGTGAGTCATCTTAAAGGCTGCCCGCCACACCATTTCATCTTAAGGTGTGTTATCTTGACATTTTCATATAAAGCTAAAGCCCTCTGACATCACAGTTGCTGTTAAATAACCACATCTTCCAAAGTCTAGAATTCAGGCGAGGGGTTTGCAAGAAGAGATATTCCTTGGTTTTGGGTGGTGATCCTTTTTCCATAAATAAAAATGGGGGGGGGTGAGGGAGGGAGGTGTGTATAAAATAAAATAGACAGTAGAGGTTGTCTTGGTTTCCATTTTAATACAAAAGCAGAAATTAAATTTTAATGATAAACCCTCAAACATTTCAGGCATGGATGTAAAATGGCACAGCTACTTTGGAAAAGAGTTTGATGGTATTTTAAAAAAGTTAAAATTAATTTACCATACTACCTAACATTCCATTCCTAGGCTCAACTCGAGAGAAATGAAAACATATGTCCACATGAAGACATATGTTTACAAACGTTCATAGCAGCATTATTCATAATGGCCCCAAACCTGAAACAATCTAAACGTCCACCAGCTGGTGAACAGATACACACAATGTGATATATTCATACAATGGCATACTACTTGGTGATAATAAGGAATGAAACACTGATACATTCTATGATGTGGATAAAGCTCAAAACCATTATGCTAAGTGAAAGAAAGCAGACAAAGACCACATATTGTAAGAGTCCATTTATATGAAAAGTCCAGAATAGATAAATCCATTGAGACAGGAAGTAGATTAGGGGTTGTTGGGGCTGAGGATTGAAACCAGGAGTCACTGCAAATGGGTATGAAAGGTCCTTTTGGGGTGAAAGAAATGTTCTGAAATTAGTTGTGATAGTTGCGCAACTCTCTAGATTTTCTGAGAATCATTGAATTGTATGCAAAATGGGTGAATTTCACAAAATGTAAATTATACCTCAATAAAACTGTTACAATATATTTTCAGTGATAGTGGATGAAAATTTGAGCTTTCTCAGCGTAAATGAAATCAAGTTCAGCTATGTCAGCTTTAGGCATTCTTATTCCGCTTGTTGTTCCTCCCATTTGTCTGGAATTTGGTCCTAAGATTGAACTCTGGGACCTTGTTCTCAGATATGGCTAACTGTCAAATCATTAAACCACAGAAAGCTGACTGTATTTCTATTATGGCCCTTCTATTTTTTTTCCCCCCTCATCTGGTTTTTTAGTCTCAATTTCCTTTGGGTTAATTTTTAAAAGATTTTGCAAATGTTGGTTTAAAAGAATGCTACTCCCCCTCCCCTTCTTTTTACCTCAGCTGGGAGAAAAGCTGATTTTCTACTTTTCAAGTGTTTGCAGAATATAATGATCATTTTTGCCTGGGCTATCTAGGAGATTAATTTCAATTTGGCTACTGAAGACTCGTGGCTTAATCATTCTCCAAGTTTTTCTGTTTTTACCTTTATCTGACAATTCTGGGAGGTTGAGGGGAATTCTGGTGTTTTCCTCCTACCATTTCCTGAAGTAATTTCACTTTTTAAAAAACTAGATTCCTTGCACAAAGGAAGAAAAAAAGTTATCTACTTGCTTCCAGTTTAATTGCAGCACATTGAAAACATGGACTACCGTGTTGGCTACCAACCCAAGTTAAAGCAAAACTTCTAAACGGACCAAGGTCTAAAGTTCGCACCTTCTTGTGAGGTCTGTTCTGGCTCCACTGAAGGAGCCCCATTATCCACAGCTCTACCAGTCATGTCCACTTCCTTTTGAGTCTCACGAAGGAGGAAAAGAAGTTCAAGCAAGGGAAAATGGGTTCAAATGAAAGTCGGATACCCAAAAGAGTTTTCCAGTTACTGTGTTGCTGGGGCGAAACAAGTGGGGAAAAGGGAACCAGCTGAGAGTGGCCCCGGGAGGTTGCTCCATTCCGACCCTGTCATCTTTGGCAGAGAAAGACAGGACAGCCTGCCTCTTAGACACCCAGGGACATGTGAGAGCCTACTGTGTGCCAGGTGCGGGGGGGTGGGGGGTACAAAGAAAACTATGGGATGCTTGTGTTCCAGGTGCTTGATAGGAGCAAGACAGTCCCCGCCCAGAAGTCACTGCAGTCCATTCTCTAGGTGGCATCAGGTGGGGGCTGAGCAAGGTGTCCGTGCAGTGGCCAACACCTCCTGCTGCACACGGATAACATCTGAGCCTCCGTCTCTCCCTCTCAAACAGGACAGGGCGGACTCGGGTTCTCCTAGCCGTCGGAGGACGGTGATGGAATACCGGGGAGAAGGAGGCGGGGAGGAATCGCTTCCCTCCGGTCCTCTACTCTAGGCCGGCCCGGCAGCCGAACACAGACACGCCCTCTCCGAAGGGCAGACCCGCCTCGAGGAGGGCGGATCCGGCCGGGGCCGGCCGCCGGGCCCTCATCCGACCCCCGCGAGCGCGGCCCAGCGCGGCGCCCGCTCCTCACGTGTCCCTCCCGGCCCCGGACCGCCTCACGTTCTGCTTCCGCCCGACCCTTCCGACTTCCGGTAAAGAATCCCCGTCCCGCACCTCCGCGCCCACCCGGCAGCGCCACGCGGCGCCTATGTGGACCCGACCCCCGATGCGCTCGGCAGCCGCAGCTCCCCGGGGCCCCACGGCGGCCATCGAGCCCCGCCGCCTCGCCGCCGCCAGGTGGCCCGGGCGGCGCTCGCTCCCGCGGCCGGCGCGGCGGGGCGGGCGGGGCGGCGGCGGCGGCGCGGCTCCAGGCCCGTATCCCTCCGCCGCCCCTCCCCCGCCTGGCCCCGGCCCCCCTCCCTCCGGGCAGCGCTCGCCTCCCTCCGCCTCAGACTGTTTTGGTAGCAACGGCAACGGCGGCGGCGCGGCCCGGCCCGGCTCCCGGCGGCTCCTCGGTTTCGGCGGGCCTCCCCGCCCCTTCGTCGTCGTCCTCCTCCCCTTCGCCGGCCCGGGCGCCCCCCCGGCCGCGCCAGCTCGCGCCTCCCCGCTCGGCGCCCGCGCGTCCCCGCCGCGCTCCGGCGTCTCCTCGGCGCGCCCGGCTCGCGGCTGTCCCCGCCCGGCGTGCGGGCCGGTGTATGGGCCCCTCACCATGTCGCTGAAGCCCCAGCAGCAGCAGCAGCAGCAGCAGCCGCCCGCGGCCGCCAATGCCCGCAAGCCCGGCGGCGGCGGCCTGCTCACGTCGCCCGCCGCCGCGCCGCCGCCGTCCTCGTCCTCAGTGTCGTCGTCCTCGGCCGTGGCTGCCTCCTCCTCCTCCTCCTCCTCGGCGGCGGCGGCGGCGGCGGCGGGCGCGGGCGCGGGCGGCGGGCGGCCCGGCCTGGGCAGGTGGGTGTCGCGCCCCAGCCCCCTCGGCTCCGGGCCGGCCTGGGCCTCGCGTCCCCTCCCCCCGGCCGCAGCGCCGTCCCCGCCCCGTGACCGGCCGGCCGGGGGGGGGGAGGGTGGGCGGGGGGCCGCAGTGGGGGTGGGGCTCCCGTCCGGAGGCGGGGGAGGGGGCGCCCCGGTCCCTCCGGGGACGTCAGGCGGTGTCCAGCGTCCTGCCACATCCCCATCCCCTCCCCGGAGCGGTCAAGATGGAAGGTCCGGGCCGCCTCCCGCTCTGGGGGCCAGTGCTGGGGTGGGGGTCACGGGTGTCGGCGGTTGTCAGCCCCCTTGCCCCCTTCTTGAGCCTCCCCCCCGCCGTGAGGGATGCCTGGGCAGCGCCCCCGCCGCTGTGGGGATGGTAACGTGCAGGGGGCTTGAGGTTTGGGTGCCGTCTCCCGAAACTTGCCGAGTCCCCCAGTGGGGTATAACGGGGTGGGGGTGGGGGTCCGGGCGGCGTCCCCCTGCTCTTGGAGGGGCGGCCGCAGGGCTCCTCTGGACTCAGCAGGGTCTGTGCAGTGCCCTCGCCCACCCCGCGCCCCGCCCGGGGCAGCTCGAAGGGCCGGGTCGATGGGGGCGCAGTAGCCCCGCCCCCCCCGCCCCCAGTGAACCCCGCGGCGGCGGCGGGGGCTCGGCCGTCTCCCGCAGCGGCCCCTCCGAGCGCGGGGCGCGGGGCCCGGCCCCCTCCCGGCGCCGCTTCCCCCGCAGGCCTCCCGGCGCGCGGGCCGAGCCGCAGTGCTGTGCCGAGGCCGCCGCCGAGGGGCGCCTTTGCGGAGCGGTGGGCAGGGCCGGGCCGGCGCGCGTGCGGAGCCCGGCCGGGCAGGGCACGTGGGGCGGGCGGCGGGCAGCCGGCGCGTTGCGCATTTTCCTCCAACCCCCGCCCCGGTGTTTGGAATTTGGAGCGGAGAGGGATTGCAGCAGGGGACGTGGAGGGGCTCCCGGGGGCAGAAATGCGGCTGTTTCCTTGCGTCGTCTCCCCCTTCCCCCCCGTGAGCCAGGCTTGTGGTCGAGACGGGGGGCTCCGTGCTGTCTCAGCTAGCCGGGTGCCCCTGGAGGGGGTGTGTGTGCGGGGAGGCCGGGTAGGGGGGTGGTTGTCGGTTCGCGTGTCACGAACAGGGAAAATGCTTAGTGTTCAGCCGGGGCAGCAATGTCAATAGACTCCATTCCATTGTGGCCAGTGTCCTTAACTTGGGGAGTGCCGCCAGCGCTCTCCAAGGGCACGCGGGTCCATCTCCCCGTGCCCCGCGCCCCTCCGCGCTGCGGGCGCCGCGTGCCTCCCTCGGGCCTAGGTGGGGTTTGCAGGGCCGCTGCGGGGGGCTTCTTAATAGACGTCGTGGGCTTTAGAAGGTGGGAGAAGGGGAGTTTTTCATGCACGGAGTTTTCTTTCTGAAAACAGGTTTTCAGCAATCCGTTTCCAAAGAATTTTCATTTTTGGTAGGAGAAGTTACCCATCAAGATGAATCAGAGCTGCTTTTTAAGGAATTCTGCCTTCAGTGCGAGGAGGGGGACCATTGGTTTTTTGACTTCTACCCTACCCCCTACTCCTAGGTCCCCCTTGTCGGAAGCACCCACAGACGACTACCTAGTCAGACCAGTTCAGATGAAGTGCCTGGTTTCCCAGCTCTTTCCACCTAGGATTCTGTAACTCCAGTTTCCCTTTTTTCAGTGGCATCCATAGTGAAAAATGGAAAAATTGTAAATATAATTTTTATACAAAAAGATGCACTGTTTTTTCCTTCTTAGGTATCAGAAATCTGGCAGATTCGTTCAACTTGTTCAAATAATTAAAAATTAACATTAAGCCTTTTAAGTTGCATCCACTCTCCTTAGGCTTAAAAATTATAAAGAATCTGTTCCAGAATGGTTTGGGTGATCAAAAGTATTTGGAATATTTTAGTACCGCAGGTCTTTTTCTGTTTGTTCCTTGAGGCATCACAAACACTTAGGGTTAACTTAGATTCCTTCTCCCTTTATTTTACTTGAGGCATAAAGTGTGGCACTTATTCTTTTTGATAAATATGTGGGGTTTTTTTAGTGTATTGGATTTATATAATGTGAAGTTTTGTTCTTGTACATATCTTTAGTTGATATACTTGCAGAATTCCTTTCAGTTTTGAATCACTGTAACTAGATTCTTTGTAAGCCATGGCAATTTCTAGAGTCTCACTTATGTGTGTGTGTGTTGACAGTTAAAATAAGTTTCTGGGACTACGGGAGAAGAAAAAGTGCAGCATTGGGTTTGACATATTTAGAGATAGCGAAATATTCTTGAAAGTCTAGAAATTCACGTCTGCTTTAAATAATGTTTCATCATATTTGACTTTTTTTTGGTGAATAGTGGATTTTCATGTCTTTCAAAAATTTATTCTGTCTTGTCATAATACGTTTTAGAAGGTGGTTGTTTTCTCTTAGAACAATGTAACCACAATATGAAAGTTTGAACATAATTTTACCTTAATCCAATTCTTATTTTTGCCTTTATTCATTTTTGTGTAGGTTTAGTGATTGTGTATGTTATTTTGCATTCAGTCTTTTTCTCCTTAATGTTGTATTATAAATTTGTTTAGGTTTCTGCTTAACCGTTCTCTATCGTTGAGACTTGGGTTTCCACGTTTTTGTTATTATAGACAGTGGTGCAGTAAACAGCTTTATATTCCTAGCTTTTTGCCTCAGTCTAATAATTTCCTTAGAGAAAGTTCCCAGGAGTGGTTTTACTGGGCCAAAGAGCTTCAGGACGTTTATGGCTCTTGCTTGCTGCGCCATCTTCCTCTTAGAAGACTTGTATTCATTTCCAGTGCCAAGAAGGTGTCTCTTCTATAGAATGATTTCTTTGTCATTTGTCAAACACTGGGGAGGATTTTCAAGGGAAAAGTTGCATTTACTGTCAAGTGCATACATTATTAAGTGCTTTTGTTATTTACTTGATTATTTATATTTGAGTTTGAATTTGGTTTCTCTGAGGATGTAATGAAATAATATATGTGAAGATGCTTTGAAAAAAACTGTTAATACTAATGAGGATACATGGTTTATCTATTGTGCTATTTCTTTTTTTTTCTTTTTTAAAGATCGGCACCTGAGCTAACAACTGTTCCCAATCTTTTTTTTTCCTCCTTCTTTTTCTCCCCAAAGCCCCCCAGTACATAGTTGTGTTTTCTAGTTGTGAGTGCCTCTGGTTGTGCTATGTGGGATGCCGCCTCAGCATGGCTTGGTGAGCGGTGCCATGTCCATGCCCAGGATCCCAACTGGTGAAACCCAGGGTCGAGGAAGTGGAGCGCGTGAACTTAACCACTCGGCCATGGGGCTGGCCCCTGTGCTGATATTTCTGAGTAGAGGGATGAAAACCTGTGCAACTTGTTTGAAAGCTTTTTGATGGTTGGGGTATTTTTTATTAGCTGCTAGCCTATCACCAAATTATCTCTGGTCAATTTATGTAGTTTCATGGTACTACTGGGAATTATCATTGGTTAATCTCTATCTCTTTCCCTTCCACATTCCCTTTCCTGTTTTAAAAAAAATGGATTTACAATCCTGCGAATCCTATTCACAGTCCTAAATAATATAACATTAGAATTTCTTTGGATACAGGATTAGGTGTGAATAAAACCTTTTTATTTGAGTAGTTTTCAGCTTAGTACTTGTACTGCAGCTTTCTCTTAAGGCATTGCAACTTAGAAATTATACTGCAATTTAGTGTAATTGTTCATCATGCTTCCATGTAAGTATCAGTGAGATAGTCATCCCTTTGAATATCTTCTAGGAGAGCCTAAAAACATCTGTGTTCATTCAACACATAAATTCTTTGAAAATCTCTGTACAAGGCAGGTGTAGGTGCTTGGGATATATCAATGAATAAAACAGACATAGCTGCCCTCCTGGTGTTTATATCCTAATGTGATCAACCAGAAAATAAGCAAGAGACATTAAATTAGCAAACTGTCTATGATATTCCATGAGAGCTATGGGATTAGGGGAGAGCAGGTTTAGGGTATAATTGGGAGTGTGGGAGAAGGGAGTGGGTTGCGATTTTAAATGGGTTAGGGAGGCCTCATTGGGCATGTAACATTTGAGCAGAGTTTTGACGGTGAGGTAGTTAGCTATTTGCTTTTTATCTAGATTAGTCAGTCATATGGCCCTCTCTGTAATTTATAAGATTTAAACTGCGTCATGTATCCTTTGTTAATTCATTGTTTTGTGTGAGTATTAATAATAACCAAATCTGAAGATGGGACCAAAAAAGTTAATTGACATGTCATTTGAGGTAAACTGTAGGTGGTTGTTAAAAAGATGTCTTTCTATTGGGCTTATTTATTTTACCTAATCAGTTTGATTTTCATCCCAAATACCTAGAGAAAATATACTTTTTAAGATTGATCAAAAACCTACATCAAATTGCTTATCTTTGTCAGAGAAAAAAGTAAGCCTGTAGTTGCTTAAGGATTTTGCTTTCTGAAAAGTCAAAACTTTCATGGTATCAGTCATTGTGTTTCTTTTTTGGTTAAATGTAAACTTCTATTTTCTGTTTCTCTAGTTAGACTGTTATAATTTTACACAGGGGATGTTAACTCATATCATAGCTATTTAATAGCCATATGTTTCGCCTTAAAAGAGGATCTGATTTTTTTTGACCTAAATATCTACAGCTGTGTCACAACTTACTTTCACCATAGCAAAGTGTGTTTTTATGCCTTGAAAAGAATTTTAAGGTTTTAGAAGATTTTTCCCCTTGGAATTGTAATTTCCTTTTTGGCTAAATAGTAATAGTATTTTGATATTGTATAAAGAATTGAGCTTGAACAAAACCCTATTTTTGTAGCTATTTCAAATGATTGTGACAACTTCAATAGAGATTTAAATAGAGTTTGTTAA